ATAGCATAGATTTGGAAGAAAGTAAGGCTTTTAGATTTGAGGGGAAATAGGGTATGTCCAGGTAGGTGAAGTAAAGTTTTGCAGGTGTGACCATTTGAATGAAAGTCAGCAAACAACAGGAAGAAAGAGATCCTCTTGCCTACTTTCTTTTCATGGTCCTTGTTTCCATTCTAATATGGATGAAAAAGGAAGATAAAGGAATGTGCATATTGTTTCACCAATGTTTCTTTACTTCTCCCTTTACATACCCAGAAGCAAATGGTTTAAATTTGCTAATTGCTTTGCTCATTGTTAAAAACTAATACTTTTAAACTGAGGGAGCCATAATCAGAAAAAATATTCCTAATTTACAAAATTCAGCCTTGTGTGCAGTGTGGTTGTAGCCATGTCAGTCCCAGGAGATTAGAGAAACAAGGTGGGTGAGGTAATATCCTTTATTGGACCAACTTCTGTTGGTGAGAGAGACAAGCTTCCAAGCCACATAGAGCTCTTCTTCAGGTCTGGGAAAGTTACTCCCAGCATGGCAGCAAAATGCAAGGTGTAACAGATTATTTAGCATAAGTAGTTAGCACATATTGTAAGGGACCATTCCCAGTTGAGTGGCCCGTTAACACCTCTGCAGTCATAGGACAAAAAGAGGGGATTAGTGGGTTACAGATTGTTGTAATAAAACATAAATCCAGTGTCTCTGTGGGTGAATACTTTTCACAAAGCGATCAATCTATATCTGACCTATCATTCTTCATCCTCAAAGGAAACCTGCACAACATTTTCAAGTGAGCCGTGAAGCTTAAATTTATTATTCTGCTAGACACTAAAAATCATGGCTTGGAAGCTTGTCTCACCAACAGAAGTTGGTCCAATAAAAGATATTACCTTATCCATCTGGTCTCTTTAACAGTTGAGCCTGCGCATGACATTGAAAAGTATTGCTAAATGTAATATCAACAAAGAACATTGCAAAGTAACTTTAACAGTCCTTTGCTCTGCAGTGCATAATGTCAGGTTTCAGAGTAGCAGCCGTGTTAGTCTGTATCCGCAAAAAGAACAGGAGTACTTGTGGCACCTTAGAGACTAACAAATTTATTTGAGCATAAGCTTTCGTGGGCTAAAACCCACTTCATCGGATGCATGCAGTGGAAAATACAGTAGGAAGATATATATATACACAGAGAACATGAAACAATGGGTGTTACCGTATACGCTATAACGAGAGTGATCAGTTAAGGTGAGCTATTACCAGCAGGAGAGAGAAAAAACTTTTTGTAGTTGTAATCAAAATGGCCCATTTCCAGCAGTTTCCAAAAAGTTTTTTTTCTCTCCTGCTGGTAATAGCTCACCTTAACTGATCACTCTCGTTATAGTGTGTACGGTAACACCCATTGTTTCATATTCTCTGTATGTGTGTGTGTGTGTATATATCTATCTATCTATCTTCCTACTGTATTTTCCACTGCATGCATCCGATGAAGTGGGTGTTAGCCCACGAAAGTTTATGCTCAAATAAATTTGTTAGTCTCTAAGGTGCCACAAGTACTCCTGTTCTTAGTGCATAATGTGTGATACTTACTCCATGTGCAAATAAACTTTTTTCCTTTAATCAAACTTGTGAACCACAGTCATATCAATAATGGAGGGGGAGGCTTACACATTTTTTTTTTTTTAAAGTATACTACCCCAAGCACACAAACTTTTCTTGACCTTAAAATATGGCATTTGTGATGACGATGATTAATTATATTTTGCTTGTTCATCAAAGAGTCCAGCAAAATTTCAATCTTTTGAGATAGACTTGAAAAATTTCAATCTATTGTAGAGGTTTATACTGCTGCTCATCTCCTTAGTTTCTGAGTCCCTTCCACATAAAATCAATAGCAAAGTCCCTAGTGGACTTCCTTTTCCAGGGAAAAACTCTGTTTGCAGTAGGGTTGGGGTGTGTGTTTAAGAGTCAGGGCTGCAGTGTGTACTCTATGGATATGTTTACACTGCAGTTAGCCCATGTCAGCTGACTCAGGCCGCAGGGCTCTTTAATTGCAGGGTAGACTTCTGGGCTCAGACTGCAGCCCACGCTCTAGGACCTGCGAGGTGGGAGGGTCCCAGACCTCAGGATGCAGCTTGAGCCCAGAACTCTACACTGCAATTAAAAAGCCCTGCAGCCTGAGCCCCAGTCTGCTGGAAGAGGCCCGCTGTGGGTTTTTAATTGCTGTACAGACATACCCTATGTAGAGAAAATAGGGCAGAAACTTCTTGTTTTGTTTGTATCTAAACATTCTGGGCTAAATCTTATGAGCTGAGTGCCTCACATGGTCAAATACCGCATACCATAATGGGACATGAGACTGATGGGCACCTCAAAAGAATGTTTCTAAAAGCGATATTATCTAGGTAATATAGTTGTTACTCAAAAGCAAACTCTTAATGCGCAAAAAATAAATTAACTATCTTTATTTGTAGATATTTATTGATCGAGATCCAGCGGCATTTGCACCCATTTTAAATTTTCTTCGTACAAAGGAGCTAGACTTACGGTAAGAAGTTCTAATTCTTCTAAAAATCCTCAGTACAGTTCACCTGGGTGGAAATTTTAAAATCCTTTTTGATAGGAGTTTTCTAATTCCACTGATCAATCAGATGTTCTGTGACTGTGGGATCTGACTGGTACTTTCTAAGTCCCTCACCGGCACAGTCTAATCTGTGGACTCAGGTCCTATTTCCTTAGTTCCATGTTTCATGCAGGTGACAGAATGGACAGAATTTATTATTGAATACAATTTCATATATTTAAACCATTTCAGTACAATACATTTCTCAATCAAATCTTTTGTTGTGGGTTTTTCTGTATTTTTAACTTTAATGCAGTGATCTGTACCCATAAAGATTACTGTATCTCCAGCTAAAGACTGAGTCCAGCTCTGGGGTGGAAATGTTGTGTTAAGTTATTAAAATAAGCTGCTTCAGGAGGTTCAGGTCTGATATTTATTGTGTGAACTCACACTTCTAGTTTTTACTTTATGATCCCCCAAGATATAATACCTAGTTTAAAAAAAATAATCAGTCTTCTTTTTTCAAAGGGAAAAAAAGTTATTTCAAGGCATTGCTTTCCTTTGTTCTTGTTTTTTTTTTCCAGGGGAGTGAGTATTAATGTTCTCAGGCATGAAGCTGAATTTTATGGAATCACTCCTTTAGGTAAATGTTTGTATTAAAATTATGTGGTTCCTAATGGTTGCACTGCCATAATAATAACCTACTCATGATTCTAAGATTTGGGACAATTATGAGCCAGAAGACTGCTGAACTTATTTGTGCTGAAGTTGACAATATTCAAGTAGATATTTTAAAATCTCATCAACCTCTTTAAATGAAGCTTGAGAAAATAAAACTTTATTGAAGTTCTTTGCTTTTGATGTTAATATATATCTTGTTTAGTAAGAAGACTACTCTTATGTGAAGAGCTGGAACGCTCATCATGTGGCAGTGTCCTTTTTCATGGCTACTTGCCTCCACCAGGTACTTCTATATTTTTTCACTGTGTACTTCATATACTACTTCCAATCCATTGATCCTTACACTGGATAGTTATGTAATCTGTCAGCGTGGAGTCATCATTTTAACTTGCAGTCTAAGTGAACAACTACTATTGATGATAAAGGGTTTAATTTTAAGGTTATGTCTACACTTAGAGCAGCCTATTGCATACATAAACCCCTGTAGCATGGGTAAAAATAGCAGTGCAGATGGTGAGGCACTGCTTAGGCATATGGAGTAAAGACACGCCAGACCCTTAGGGTATATACCCTACACAGCTCTCTACACACTCTAGCAGTGCCTCCCCTTTCTACGCTGCTGTTTTTAGCAGTATAGCATCCCACTGCCAAAGCCTTTTATCTATGGGTGGCAGTTGAACTGCCTGAGGCCTCACCCCTACCCTTCCGCCTCCCCCTCCCCCTCCCTCGCTGGACCCCCGTGTGCCCCAGCATGCCGGGTAGGCGGCGCGGCCCCAGCGCACCCCCAGCGCCAGGCGGGCGGCGCCGACGTGGCCCCAGCCCTGGGGCTTGTGAGCACCAGCCCAAGCCTGCCAGCTGTTCGGGGAGGCACAACTTTCCACGGCCTATGCTACTCGCCACCCATGCTTTTCCCGCTGAAGGGAAAAGCTCCAGCAGTGGGGAAAGGCTGTGGCAGCTCAATGGTTTGAGCATTGGCCTGCTAAACCAGGGTTGTGAGTTCAATCCTTGTGGGGGCCATTTAGGGATCTGGGGCAAAATCAGTACTTGGTCCTGCTAGTGAAGGCAGGGGACTGGACTCAATGACCTTTCAAGGTCCCTGCCAGTTCTATGAGATAGGTATATCTCCATATATTATTATTTTTATTACTTGTTTTGAAAAATTCCATGAATGTGTCACATTAAGAAATGAATGGTTCGTTCCACGGTCAACGACAATGGTCTGAACAGCACAGCTGGTGCCTTGAGTCTTAACTACAAATTGGAAAATTAGCCTGTTGCTGACAGAAGTTGCTAGCATAGGGCCATCACAAGCCAATGCCAAAAAGAAGGGGTTCTCACAACAGATTTTTTTGGCAGTCTTGGAGTGTGGCCACCGACTCTTGCTGGTGGCTGCTCTGACAATTTTTCCTAAAATACTTTAGGAAAAACAAATAAATATGCACATACATGTCCAAATCATTGTAATCTATTTATGTAGTAGGAAGGTGGTAGGAAATAGAGCTCCCCATTCAGCACACCCGGACTTTGTTCCTGTTCTTGTGCTTGGAGCATGTCACGGAGTGGGAGCCCCTAACCCTTGCTGGGCAGCTTCCAAGCCCTGCAGAAGCCTGGAGTGGTTGACCTGCTGCGGTAGCTACAGCAACTTCAAACAGCGAGTGCAGCCCCAGGCCGGGGAAACACCAATCTGTGTCTCTGTCCCTGCCTCTTGTGATCCTTCAGAGAGAGCCTGCCCTGGGGAAGGTGGGTCAGGAACTCACCGGTTGCCTGCTGAGTCCCAGGCTCCCTGTGACCCAGCCAGGCAGGAGTGGGGGAGCTGCCCAGGAGCACTGCAGCAACTGAACGCTGCAGCCCCCTCCATTGACAAGAGCCACCTCCAGTGCCATGCACACCGGCCCCATATGTCACCAGAGGTGCTACCCTGAGCCTCCGAGGAGGCTGCGTGGTGTAGGGCGCTGATCCCTGCTGGCAGCATCAGCGCAAACACCAAGGCAGTGCATCTTGCTTCCCTTGGTAACAGCCATTCAGGAGCAACAGCTGGGTGCTGCAGGGAGGGGCCACTGCTTTGCCCCCGTCCCAATCTCCGCCCAGGTTTTGGAGGCTGATGTGGCTGCAAAAAATCCACTAGTGGCTGTATTTCTCAAATGCTGACCGCATTTGAGAAACATTTAATTACTAGTGTAGAAAGGAAGAATCCCTTTTCCACACTGTTACAGAAAGAGGTTTTGTGCTGTCTACACTAGCAGTTAAACTATATTTGACATCTGCTGAAGAGGGATGGTTACTGCATTGGGTGAGTTTCAACATATAGATGATTATTGACCCAGTAATCGCATCGTCTCTGTGTACCTCTGTGACCTGTGTACTTTGACTTTTAGTTGTGAACCTAAATTCATTCTTGGCTATTAGATTTCATGCTAGGCTAATTTAAATGGCTTTATGATTTCTGGTATTGGTTTATGAACCTGACAGAACAACCTGTTTGTTTAAGTTTTGCAGCAATTAAACTAAATTTGGTTTTGGAAATAAAATACAAGAGGAAATTTTGTTAACTCTGAAAGATGACTTATAAATGTAGTAAGAATTTAAATGTTTTAAATTGTGCTTTGTATATTAACTGTTTTAGAAATGATCCTGGCACAGTGAAAGGTAAATGAAGTACAATAAAGTGTCTTTCCTTTTTTCGGTAGGCATTCCCTGTCGTAAAATAAACACTACTGCTGGGCCATGTATTGATGTTAGAACAGGTCAGAACTACTCTGAAGGTGAGGTTCGAGGAGGTAGTGTCCAACCTACACTTGCTGGTACTGGGGAAGGCACAGTCAGGCTAGGTAAGGAAAGTTTTCATGTACTTTTACCATGTTGGCAGTGGGATTTCCAGTGGGAAATACCAAATTAAGAGGTTAATGATATGTCTATTCTCAAACTCTAATGGTATATTTTTCTGTTTTTTAAATATAAACTACAAATTCAGCAATACTTTAACATTACATATGAAAAACTGTTAGTGTTAAGATTGCAATGTCAAGCATTACAAAATTAGGAAATGACAGAATTAAGGTTACACATCAAACCTTAATTTGTCCCCCGAATTCATGTGCATTATGGTAGTCTTGTCTAACCTCACATAGGAATTCTGTTGCAGTCCTAGTCCAGTGCTTTAAATGCAAGAGAACATCCTTTCTCTTCTTGTTACCCTCTGCCTCATTCACTGTCCATTTTGTGCATTGAATGACAAGGTTTAGTAGAACAAATAACGTGTGATCACGTAACTAAAGATTATATCATAATCCACATGCACAGGGGGCCATCATTTAAGATGTGCAGGCAACTTGAAGTCTGGCATTTCCTAACTTTCAAGTTCTTGACTTTAAGACCTGTGCAGCAGTCTTTTAATGTAGTTTTTATGTGTACTTTCCTAGTTTTCATTAAAAAGACAAAAACAAATTATACTATCTGTAGCTTATTTGTAACTACTTCTTCTCATGCATCAGCATATGAACCCTGAACCTTCAGCACTGCAGCACAGACTTCTGTCACTTGAGCTAAAGAATTAACCACAATATCTGGCAGCAGCAGGAGTGTTAGCCTCTGTGGATCAGTTGCTAGAGGAGGCTATTATCAAACTGTGTCCCTCTGTCTTCCTCCCAAAGGCTGTTGTGTACCGTGTCCTCAAGTGTAACTCCACCCTTTGTTTTGTGTTCACTTGTCCCTCCTATGCTCTTCATCCTCCAAAGAACATTGTCTCCCCTTTGGCTCAACTGGCGCTGAACAATTTTATCTACCCCACAAGCCAATAGGTAAATTTGAAGCTTATTCTCAGATATTTGACCAATTTGACACACATTAGAAGTTACTTAAAAATAAAAGCCCTCTTTTTTTTTTTTTTTTTTTTTTTTTTTTTTTTTGCAAGAGCACAGCCCTGATTCAGTTTACCTGCCAGTTTCTACTTCTTATGAGACCTTTGATTTAGTAATTATTAGCTGTTGCCTCATTCTACGAAAGAACATAAAAGTCCTATAGATTCAGATATCGAAAACACTGACAGATCTGTAACAGTGATTTAAGATACATTGTCAATCATGTACTTAGCTTGTTTGTATGTACAACCAGTGCACACCGTCTGAGAAGGCAAAGCTTCATTTCTACAAAATAGTCAGTCTCGGAAGTCCTAGTTTGAGACTTTTGGGTATGGTCTCCCAGTCTCTCACCTTGTATATTTAAGTTGGTTAAAGAATGATGTCTGTATTGGAGGATAACCCTTTTCTTTTCATTACTATTTTCTAGGATTTCCTGTGGATCCACGAAAGGTTCTGATAGTAGCTGGCCACCATAATTGGATTGTAGCTGCATATGCCCATTTTGCTGTTTGCTATAGGTATAAATGACTTAGTACTTTCTGGTGGATTGGGTTTTGAAGTTGATTTTCCTTTCCTTCTACACAAACTGTTTTAATTTGCTGATTTACTGAACATTATGTTGCTAATTTCTGCTAAATTTTAGGAAATTTCATAGTTCTATTTAATTTGATAGTTGAACACACACACTGCATGTGTTCCATGTTATTTTTTTTTTTTTTTGAGTACTGATAGGCCGCATATAGTGTTGGCAGACACAATATGGGGAAAATCTTCTAACTCTTCTAGTTCACCCCATTCCCAACGCAGCTACTGAATTCCTTGCTGTTGCAGTGATGGACTTCCCCTGAAACTTTTGCTTACATTTAAAAAAAATTGATTTTATGATACTATTGAGAGTTAGAAAGTTGAGTAATTGACATTGGACTTTTGATTTAATTGGTCGATCAACTGTATTTAATACAGGATTTTTTTAAAGCTTTTTGGAACTCATTTCAAATCTTGGTGTCTTGGAAATGGGTTCAGATTAAAGCATTGCAATATTCTAAACACTTTGTGCCTGTGCTGTGGGAAGGTCACTCTGCTATTTGTCTGGCTTTCTGCTTGCTTTTATGTATTTGTAAAGTGACTGGTTGGGATTCTCTGTCTTAAAAAACGTCAGGTTTTTAGCTATTTAACTGGGCTGTGTAATAGCCGAGTAAGAATTTGTTGCTTTACTCAGCCGTTGTGCAATGGGATATGTATGTGATATTTGTAAACAAGTAACTTAGACTGGGTTTCAGTAAAAAGTGGGGTGCAGAATTGCTTTACTGATGCATTTTCTTAATATAAACTATTTAGGAACCTACTTCCAACAATAGAACATTACAAGATTGTTTTCAAAAGAAGAAAACATTTCTCATAAGTTATGTACCCAGTTGTGCAATATTTTATTGCATGTGTGGAAAATTGATTTCTTGTCTACAGCTACTGATAAGCGGAACCTTAACACCACTTTATTCTCCTGAACCTCTGAATTTGATATCCAGCTGTATACTGACTCAGTGCTCACCATCTTAGTCACTCCCTTGCCTTGGTCTTGACTCAGCATGGCTCATTTCTGATCTCTGAATTCCTTCTCTCTAAACCTTATTTGCTCTACTACATTATCATTCCTCGTTTAGGCCGACCTGCGTAACAGAAGCCATATATGCTAATAATCTTCCTATTCTTCCCCTCTTCCCAAACTTCATCTTCTGATGAACTTTGTTTCTTGGGGTATGTCTACACTGCCAGTGGAAGCGAGCCTCTTGGCCCAGATTGACAATCTTGCACTAGCGGGGCTTGCGCTAGAGATCTAAAAATAGCTGTGTAGACTGCGCTTTGAAGTTGTGGCTTGGGCTGGAGCTCTGTCTCTGAAGCCTCAGGAGAGGCGTTGGTTTGTTGTAGCTTGTTCCCACTTACATTCGAACTAATGGAATTTTTCCAGCATTTTTTAGATTAATCTGGCACCTGGGAGGCAGTAATTTTAAAATAACTGTACCTATGAATTGCTAGCATATTTCCAATAATACCTGTGCATGATACCTTAAACCAGATAGTTTGGCTATTTTGAGGGAGCATTGCCTCTGTAGAATGTAGAGGCTAGAGAAGGAAGTGCTGTTGCTAAAAAAAAAAAAAAAAAAAAAAAAAAAAAAAAAAAAAAAAAAAAAAAAAAAAAAAATTAAAGTCCTAAAGTAGCAATTTACATTGAATTGGTTGTGAAGCCCATGTGGATAGAAATATTTTTAAGTCTCTGCATATTTCTAAAATAAATCATAATGCTTGAAAGGACGTATGATAAATGAACACTTCAAACATGTCTCATACTTTAAATGTTTAAAAATTTTCATTTTTGTAAAGCCTACAGAAAAATAGGGCATCCTTAAAAAATGTAGCATTTCATCTTGCAAATGAAAATTGTGGAATCCTTTAAAACTTCTTAAATTCATAAGTTTAAGTATTTGGCCTCTGTAGTGCCCAAGAACTTTTTAAAAATGCAGTCCTACCGGAAAAATGCAATATAACGACAGCTACAGTTGCTAGAGCTATTTCTGGAGTCACATTTCTTAATAGCCTAGATCAGTGGTTCCCAAACTGGGGTGGGTTCACGAAATGGTACGGGGGTTCTCGGGGGAAAAAATTCCCTAATGGCGGACAGAGCTGTCCCGAGGAACCCCAGCCAGCCTGGGGCCAGCAGCCTGGAGCCCCTGGATTTCCAAGAGCTAAGCAGATCAAAGCAAGCATATCTATCACACTGAGGAGATTTAAACTTCAAGACTCCTTATAAGAAATGGAAAGGGAGGTGGATATTTTTTGCTGTTTTTAAAATTAAATAGGCAGCTAGTATTGTTTTTAAAATTATTATGAAGAACAAGTTTTTAAGCTTTGTTGTAACGTGCGTTATTTGCCTGAACTGCTCAAGACCTGAATGCTTGTGTAGGAGGAACTCTTTGAGTTGGCTTTTTAAATACCTTCATGCTGTTTCACATCTGATACTCCTTGATGAAACATAGGAGCCTTGTCTTATAACAGGCTTATTCAAAGTGATACCAGCTATGAAAGTGAGATCTTGGAAGAGTGTTGCTGTTTTCATAATGTAATAAAAATATTGTAATGATAAATAATAATTAATAATAAATAGTGTGTAATAAGCATGTCATAAAAACAAATTTTATATTTCCAAGATCACTGCTTTTATAATTTATACTCAGATAAAGGAGAAAATCCCTAGAAATACTCATTTTTAGGAGGGGGTTCGCGAGACTTGACATTTTAGTGAAAGGGGTTCACAGGCTGTTAAAGTTTGGGAACCACTGGCCTAGATTGATCAAGCCAGTAATAAAGCAGCATACAGATAAACAGAAAAAATGTCCAAGATGGTCATTTACATATTATTTGGTCATAAAACATTCAATTACATAAATTTAAATAAAAATATAAACGCCTAAAATTATTGTAATACAGGAGCTGCGTTCACCAAGCACACTGATCCTAACATTTCAAGGGAAAGAGGTACCCCCATTTGGCTTAAACTAGGCTGATATAGAGCCTTGGGTTGTGAATGAGATCTAGTAGGCCAAAATCTTCCCTAGATAAATAGAATACAACTTCCATTAAGTTGTGTGTTTTCTCCAGGGCTCATCCTTGTCTTTTACTCATTTTAATATATATTTTGTTGTTGTATATGTGGGCAAATAGATTTGTTAATTTCAGACTAGAAAATAAATAACTCAAAAGTGTTAAAACACCCTCTTGTGTTTTTGCCTTCTTGCTGTGACAAGTGGAGTAAATTACAAATTAATTACAAAAGTTTTTTTTTTTTCTCATTAAAAGCTATGCAGCATTTAAATAGGGACTCAAGGTGGGATTTGGTTTACTCTACTGTAAAATTACGTCAGATTGAAATTTGAGGGTGTAAAAGTGAAAATACAGACTTTTTAAATAAGAACTGCAATATTATGTCTTGCTTCTTGTAATTTTTAAAGAATGGTCCATTCTAAGTATTTTACATTTTTAATCAAAAATGTTTTATAACATTTGTGTACTGTTTCATTAATCATCTTTTTCTTCTATTCTGCCTTACTCTTCAATGTTTTTTCTTCTGTAAGTGTTCTGTTTTTTGTCTGTTACACTTCCAATTTTGTTTCACTTTTCCATTTACTGGTGTTCTTTCCCTCTACCGTCTGTGTGTTACATCCCTTCTCACGGTTTTCTGCATTGCACTGTGTGTCAGTAACGTTGATTTACAAAGAAAACCTCTAAGCATTTGGCAAAGAATTATTTAGAACTAAGGTTTCTAGGCAATGTCATGCAGTCTAGATCACACAGTGTAGCAGAGTGGCAGAAAATAGAAATGGAGTAGAAATTATAGTGAGATTGGTGTATTTATTAGGTAGCACAATTATACATAAATCAGTGTTTTGTATGATTCACATTCAGTTGAGCATGAGTAGGATCCCTAGGAATTGTTGGGTGGGGGCAGAACCTTAAAGATGTATCTTAAACTGGCAAAATCAGGACAATAAGACTAAAATTCCATCCTTTACTTGTTTCTTTCTGGCTGGGTGTTGCATCTCACAATATCACCTACTTTTCTGAGGCTGCCTAGCAGAAGATCATATCTTCTGCAGTACCAAGGCCCAATAAATTAACCTTTAACACGGTATTTAATCCAGCATTCCTGTATTTTGTAGTTGTAGGCCTGTGAAAAGTATATTAATATCAGAATCCTTTATTTGATATTGTTTTATAACTTAAAGGAAATATAATTGGCATGTAAGACTGACTATAGGTACAAACTCCAAACTGAGGCTGTTTGGAAAGTGTATTTTTTTTTAATTCTCATCCTTCCCAGAATCAAAGAATCTTCAGGATGGCAACAGGTTTTCACAAGTCCATATCTGGATTGGACTATCGAACGAGTAGCTCTGAATGCCAAGGTCGTTGGAGGTCCACACGGGGACAAAGATAAGATGGTTGCTGTTGCCTCTGAGAGTAGCATCATCCTGTGGAGCATTCAGGATGGCGGAAGTGGGAGTGAAATTGGTGGGTATGACAGTTTTGTGTGACGATGTCTTACTGCTAATATCTTCGGACCCATAAAAACATAGTTTCACATATAGTCTGACTGGATAATTCATAACAAACATTTACACAGACTTAATAAAAAATGAATTTTGGTACAGCAATCTAATATTAGAATTTTTATGTGTACCTTTCTGCCCTTCATTTTGATCTGGAGATGTTTCCTTCTGAGTGAGTGAAAAGAAATACAATCCAAAAATCAGTCTCTTTATTGGGCAGAGGCAATTGAGAGCCATCATTCATGTTAAAGTGTCATTGGTAGCTTGTTTAATCTGACAACATGGATTAGAGTTTAACTCAATCCATTAGACTCAGTTCTTTAGCACTGCAAGTTGGATTTGAACAGAAGACTTTGAGGTGAAAGGCTAAGGGTACATCCACACTGCAATAAAAAACCCAATGGCAGCATGTCTCAGAGCTGGGGTCAATTGACTTGTGCTCGCAGGGGTTGGGGTATTGGGCTAAAAATTGCATTGTAGATATTTGGGCTCGGTGTGGAGCCTGGGCTCCTAAACCTGATGAGGAGGGTGGGTTGATCTCAGAGCCTGAATTAGTCTACACTGCAGTTTGCATCCTGAGCCCTGTGAGCCCAAGTTAGCTGACACAAGCTAGCCTCGGGTCTTTTATTGCAGATTAGGTACACCCTAAAAGGATTGCCAATTTATCCTTCTTTTTTTCTTGCTTTGTTTTACAGTAGGTCATATTTTAGATCGATTTTTTTTTTAAGTCTGCTTTTGCTAATCTTATAAAATGCAGTTCCTAAATAGAATTTTGGAGACAGCTATTTGCCACCAGTAGTCAGCATTTTAAACAAAAATACAAATTAAATTAGTGTGGGCATGTAGTACTGGGTCCCAAACGGTTTAGCACCAAAAGGTTCACAACACTAGAGGTCATATAAATATGGAAAAGGTTTTCAGAGAAACAAACATTGCTTAGTACAGCTGTGAGTGATGGTTTGTCTGATTTATTAAAATATGTAATTGCTTAAAAACATGAATAATGGGCTTTTGGGGAAAGAGGAGAGGATGGTAATTGGGAATATCCTCAATTCCAATAGTGGTATGTAAGTCATGGTTTGAAAGATAGTGACAACCTGTTTCCTCCAGCCATAAAGTACTATCACCATAGATTTAATTTAATAAGTTTAGTACCAAGAATAATTGTAATCTGTTAATTTAGACATTTTTCTGAAATTGGCTGCAAATTTGTTCAGTTAATTCTCTATCGCTCTTTCCTTTTAACACTAAAATACTAAGACCTAGGATATGATGGGAACTAATGTAATTGATGTGAAATTATTAAATATGGTCTAAAATATTTGGGAGTTTCCGTTCAGGTTGGCTTATTTAAAATAAAGACAAAATTTACTTTAAAACGTGCATTCCAAAATGCAAGAGAAAGGTTTATCTGTATTCATGGATATTTAATTTTTCTTGATGTTCACAGTGGTATCTCAGCACTTTAAAAAAATTAATGAATATTGCTTTTCAGCAGCCCTGAGAAGTGAGGAAGCATTATCATCCTTCTATGACAGGTGGGGAAACTGAAGCACAGAGAGCTGAAGTGTCTTTCACAAGGTCACGCAGGAACTCTGTGGCAGGATGGGGAATAGAACCCAGCTCTTTCTATCCCAAATTCACCTGGCTTTCTAATCACTAATAAGACAGAGTGCAGGTATTAGCATAAAACATCATCTAGGTTTTTTTAAGGTTTTTCTCCTTTTAAGAAAAATTAAAATAGAGTATCCTGTAATACTAAGAAACTAGCAGTGCTGCCATCATAAAAGCCACATTTCTGAAAGATGTAAGACAGCATAATTCTACACACTAAAAATAGAAATTTCTTAGATTTCCTCTCTCCCATCAGTGAGCATGGAAGGGTCTCTTAGATATTCCATTATACGACCCTTCCTTTTTCAAAGAAAATGTTAAACTCTTAAGCCAACTGGTTGAGAAGTCTTGGGTGCTTTTATAAATATAGCTGTAGCTGCCACAGTATAGCACAGCTACACTATTGCAGCTTATGTCAGCACATGAATATTTTTGGGTTAATTTAACTGTTAAAATTTTCTCATAAGCTGGCACTTTACCTGCAAAGTTTTTTCTGTTTTTATCTCGGATCTTCAAATATTCCACAGGCAGGAATTCAAAAACATTTTTTATGGTTATATAACAGTATAGCTTTTGTTTTGAACATTTTTTGAAAACAGATTTTTTATTTTAAGATCTGAAAATTATTATAACAATATTTCAGATTTGAAAAGATCCTGCTATGTGTCTGAGTTGACCAGTTAAAATTTAGTGTCACTAAAACAACAAAAAAACAGAAATCAAGAAAAATTTTTTTTTTTGCAGAGCAACCAACAGGCTAACTGTTTTTGGTATCATATTTTTGAACATGGGAAAACTTTGGAAAAATCAAAATGTTTATGAAAAATTCCATGTCTTGAAAAAAAAAATAGATTTCCTTTTATTTGAAACATTCTGGCCATCTGTATTGTGTGTGTTTGTCAATGTTACGAACTAAGTGTTCCACATTTCCGTTTTTAAATTGCTATTATAACTCAAATGTGTGGGGTTCCCCACTTCCCCCAATTCAGTTAAACTAAGGAATCCAGTAACACGAGAATAAAATAGTTTTACTGGCCTATTTCTCTTGCAGAGTCAAATGTTTGAAGCCCTGCCTTGGGATAGTGAGGCAGTAGTTTTTCCATGTCCTGTAAAAGAAACAATTTGTTGTTACAAATGCTCTTCAGAAGCTGACAACACCATCCACAGAAAATTGCAAGGGCTGGCATCTCCATGATAGAGCTCTCCCAGAGGCTGTACTCCTTTCAATATTACTTACGTAGGACACCACTGCTGGATTGCTGCTATAAGCAGTGTTTTACTGAGAGGGCCCCTTAAGACAGGAACCTGTCATTACTTATACCATCGTCTTCCCTGTAGATGGCTGTCAAGATTGTTGAGCCTAAGCAGGAGTGACACTTTAAATTCCTTCAGACCATTCAAGCTGTCTTCCTTGATTTCCCTGAACCTTATCCTTCTCTGGAGTAATCAATTCTAGTTGTTTCCCTTTTTTTTTTTTATTATTGCCTGCTTTTATGTGCCTGGTACTGCTGAATATAATCTGCATCAGAGATGATACCCCATGACCTGAAAAATCATTTGGCATCATAATTAAAGCACTAGTGTTTAAAAAGCTTACTGACTGCCATCATAGAGCATAGTAGACTATTATTCTTTTGTTTGAAATGGCATCTTGATTTTTGACATTTGAATTTATCCAAATAAAGGTTTTTTGGGGATTTCCAGTGTTTAAATACTCTTCAAGAGATTTCTGTTGAGTTTTAGTAGAGGCATTTGCACAACTCTTGGAGATATGCCACTACATTATTTATTAAAACATTTAAGTGGCTGTATAAGATCTTTGTGTAACTTACTGTAAATGTCAGTACAGTAGACAACTATACATTGAGAAACTCCTTACTTGGCAGTGTACGTATCCTAATGAGCAGTTTTATAATGAAAGAAGATAGGTTTTATGCTTACAACCCTACAGTATTTAGTGCTGAGTTCCTTCTTGTCTGGTTGATCTAGCTGGCAAGCATCCTACCAAATCACCCCCAAGAAAACAAACTTGGAGAATTATGAAAACTCTTCAATGTTGATTTGCTGTGGCTCTTCAAAAAAAATTTGATTTCATACTAAATGTTATAGTAAACTCATTTAAGCTTGTCAGTCAGTACCAGTCATATTAGACCCTGAATGAGAGACTGCGGGCAGTTCTATACTTAATGCTACAGCGGCGCAGTTGCGCAACTGTAGCGCTTCAGTGAAGATGCTACTACTCCGAAGGGAGAGCTTTTCCTGTCAGCGTAGTTAATCCACCTCTGCAAGAGGCGGTAGCTATGTCCACGAGAGAAGCCCTCCTGTTGACATAGTGCAGCTACCCTGAAGATTAGGTTGGTATAACTGCATTGCTCAGGTGTGTGGATTTTTCACACCTTTGAGTGACGTAGTTATACCAATGTAAGTTTATGGAGTAGACCTGGCCTGAATGCCATTGTGATATCTTAGTGCCACTAGAAGGAAATAATAAGTGTTGCAGTGAAGTGAAATGAGTCAGCTGCAGTATGTAGGTTGACTCAGTTCCCTATTCATGTGATAACAATGAGAATTCAAAAAAATTCGAACATCAAAGCTTCATCTCAGTTTCTTGTCTTTTGAGCCTCTTTTGATCTCAGTACTGATTAACTTCCAGTAATCGGAGTAGTGATGGGTGAATGTTAGTGAAAGTACCAGTAACACTCATAGTGGGTGGTGGTGAAGTGGTGAGAAATGTGTAGAAAAAGGTATTTAGACAGGACCAGTTAGGTGTAAGACTTGAAAGAAGGAAAAAATAAGGGCCTATTATTTCTATAGTACTGCTTCAAATATCCTAATTATTGGTTGAACGACTCTTATATTGATATTTTTTGAGCAAACTGTTAATTTTATTATTGAGTTGCTCATGCATGCTTGGCTGTTATTTTTTGACAGTGTTAATCTTCATTGTTAAGCAATTGCAGTTTCTATGACTGGCTGATCATGAAGAGATGTTTTAGACTTAGAAGCAGGAATTACTGTGACGATTGGTCAAATGCCACCAAAAACAATTTCCAAAAGCCAAATCTGGGCACTTGCAAAAATCATGTTCATTGTAAGGGATCTTCCAGTGTATTCTGATAAGTACATCTTTCAGAATTAGTTATAAATGTGTGTCCGTTGGAGTCTGTTTCCTAGTAATATAATAACCACAAGACGCATCTTTCTGCAATGTAGAAAGAAGTAAAAGTGATATCTTTTTTTTGCTTAATTATATTTGCCTGTAATAGTTCATTTAGGTACAGAGGTGGCTTCCATAGCAAAAAAGGAAACCAGTTTGTTTTAATTTCTGATCATTATATTCCTAAAAGAATTTGTTCAAAAGACAATATCATGCATCCTTCATATCGCTATTAGTTATGTTTTTGACAGTGCTTGCCAAATTTGTGTAAGCTCTTCGTTATTTGTGGACAGCACTTCTGATCAGCTTAACTGTACGTTTATAAATTAGAGCTTGTTTTCAAATTAGAGCTTAGTACAGTATTTTGATCCTTCATTAGTTGGTGTTCATAAATGATTTTAGGCCTTAGGATACTGGTGGCTAAGAGGAACAAGGAATTTATTATTATTTTGCAACATCACTTTTCCCCAAAAAGAAACATTGACTGCATCAGCAGATTACTGCATGTTGAAGTAAAAGTAGTTTAAATTCATTATATGTCTGAAGAGAGGATAGAGAGATTCCATCTTTACTGTTTTTCTTTTTTTGTATTTATTCTGAAAACAAGCTTCATAGACTCTCTGTTTTTTATAGGAGTGTTCAGTCTTGGAGTCCCTGTAGATGCCCTCTTCTTCATTGGCAACCAGCTGGTGGCTACTAGTCATACAGGGAAGGTGGGAGTATGGAATGCTGTGACTCAGCACTGGCAGGTGTGTTGAATTGAAGCATTTTATTAATACATCGGTATTTATCAAAAACTGATATGTTTTATGAGGAAACAAGAACAAAGTCCATTTTTTTCAGATAATGCATAAATATTATTTTTCTTACATCAGCATTTTAATATTGTAAGACTGACTTGTGCCTATCATTTTGATATCTTTAAGCATCATGCCTTTAGGTATTTTGTCTCAGAATTTTTCAGAGTTTATCTCAATATAATACTATTGAGCATTCCATTTCTTTATGCTCTTAAATAAAAAGAGAACTTTTAGGCATATAAAAATATTAAATGTCATCCATGAGTGTCTTCAGAACCTTCCTCCCTTAGCCACTACCACTTGTTTAAAAGCTTTGTTTTCCTAATGGGACCCCATGCTTGAACTCATATGTAGTTCCAATAGGAAATTTAATATATTACAATGAAAAGTGGCCGCAGTTCTCAGAGGAGCATATCCAAAACTTCAGATGTGAGTTTGCAAATCTTTTGGGACCATGAAAAGTATGGCACAAACTGAGACTCTTCCTTTGATAGCACTGTATACCATGCCTCAAAAGCATCTATTTTATATCTATATACACCATAGATGTGCTGTGATTTTTTTTTTTATACATATTATGCATTCTGACAACAGGAATAGAGATTCTTGGATTCCAGACAAGACTGAGGGAAGAGTTGGGCATTCATGCAAGAAACAAACCTTGTAACACAGCCAGATGAATGTCTCCATGGTACAACGTAGGGACAGAATGTAATGAAATCCAAGAGGCTGTCTTGCAAATCTCAAGTGGCAGAACAGACCTGAGGCTCACTCCTGCGACTGCCATAGCACTAGTTGACTAAGTTCTGATTTGGCCCTTTAGCAACAATCCTGCCAATGAATAACACAGAGAGCGCAAAAAGGCAACCAACGCGGCACAGTTCTTTAGTTACATAGTGAAGGCTGACCTAATATGTTTGCATCAAATGAAACAAGCTCAAAGGCCTTTTTAAAATCTAAATTGACACCATGCAAAATGCAAGAAACCATTTGAGATATTTTTGAAGTAATGCCACTTTTTGATTAGGATAAAGCTTCACAAAATATGCTGGTGGAACAAGGTGAAAGGAACTGTCAACTTAGGAAAAAGAATTGGCTTCTTCATATTCCCTCCTTTGCTTCCTTTTTCATTTTCAGACCTCATAGATAGGTGTGTTTGCAAGGCAAGAATTTGAAATTTTTTTCAGTTCTGCTAACTGAGTAATTATCAATATTCTCTCCCTCTGAAGTATGTGGATGAGTGTCCAGATTTGAACTTGCAGCTCTCTGCACTGTGCCACGTGATTTTGCTCTGGTAGTACACCTCTACCTCGATATAACGCTGTCCTTGGGAGCCAAAAAATCTTACCACGTTCTACGTGAAACCGCGTTATATTGAACTTGCTTTGATCCACTGGAGTGCCCCCCCCCCCGGAGCACTGCTTTACCGCATTATATCCGAATTCGTGTTATATCGGGTCATGTTATAGCGCGGTAGCAGTGTATTATAAGTATCTTTTAAGAGGCTTTGTTAAAGTTGCCATTCCGTATAGCAATTTAATATGGTCACTGTTCCTAGTCTGGTTTCTAAGGGCTGGTCTACACTGCCGCGCTAGTTCGGCGGCTGGGGATCGAAGTTCCGAGTTCGATTGATCGCGTCTGGTCTGGACGCGATAAATCGAACCAGGAAGTGATCCCCGTCGACTGCGGTACTCCAGCTCAACGAGAGGAGTACCGCGGAGTCGACGGGGAGCCTGCCTGCCGCGTGTGGACCGCGTCTGAACCGCGGTAAGTTCGAAGTAAGGTATGTCGAATTCAGCTACGTTATTCACGTAGCTGAATTTGCGTACCTTACTTCGACTTGGGGGGTAAGTGTAGACCAAGCCTAAGACTTTTGTTTCTCCTCAGCAGACCACTACCTGTAACAGCTGCTAGAGTCCTTGGGCTGTCACAAGAATTTGGTTGAGGTTCCCTTCTGGTGTCAGTGGGATTTATTTTTAGTGAGGAAGGGAATTTTTGACAACTTTCACTATCCCTATCAAGATGTAAAAGGGTTCCCCCCCCGACCCTTGTGTAATTCTGTGTCCGAATTCTGAATCGCAGCTGTCTCAGAACTCTGGTTCTTGAGGGTTAGTCACACAGGCTTCTGGGACATCAATTTGCAAATTCTGGAAATCAATAAGTTAATATAAATTTATGAAACAATTAACTATACTTTTTGATCACCTACTTTTGGCAGTAAAACATATTTCTTAGACCCTATTAAAGAACTTGCTGGTAAAGCCTTTGAAGATTGCGAGGGCAAAAATAATTGGTCGAGACCAAAATGGGGTTCCTGATTGTAGTACTTAAATTTAAAAGTGGGTAATTTTATGTCTATAGCAACAGGATTTCTCATTGAAAAGGAACAGCAAATTTTCACAAGAGCACGTAGACTCCCAAAGATAGCATAAAGGAAAAGACCTCATAAATTAAGGAAATGAAGACGTTTTCGTAAAGTAGATGTCACCGTTTATTTCCCTTACTCTTCAGGGTTTTTTTTTTTAAATTAACTAGATTTGGAACATACAAAGAAAGCCTATGCAAAGACATGAGTTACTCCCTTTTGAGTTAGAAAAGGGAATGCAAATTATAACCTTGTACAATGTGTTATGTAAAGCCAACAGAATGTACTTCCACTTACAGTGGGCATGCTCCTAAAATGCAGTGCTAGTTCTTGGGCTTTTGTAGTCCTACTTCACAAACTAGAAAACATACAATACTTTCCTCGCAACCCACAGTCGTTAATACAAAAAAAATCATTTAAACTTTGTGCTTCAGTAGGTTCTTGTTCTGCCTTTTTTGGGAGAGCCATTCTCAGTTACATTGGGCAGGGGGGTTACAGTGTCCTGTGATCTTGATGTAAGAGGATGGAGTATTTATTGTGTTTATAAGTCATCTTTTAGTCGATGCTTTCCCATCCCTTCTTTCTGAATTGCCCATAGTTCAAGCTCTACTTTAAGGAAGTTTTTTCTCTTCCAGCCACTCTCCCTCTAGCTAAGAGAGATCCTTATGCATTTTATATAATTCCTCCTCAGGATGTTATAATTTTTTCTGTATCCATAATAGATTCTGGCATCTCCTCCCTGAGTCTCAGAGACTGGGGCAGACTAGCTGAGGTGGCTTTCCCTAATGCTCATTCCCCAGGCAAGATTTTGATGGCATATGATATAGCAAGAAGGTTATAGGCATTAGATAATCTAGCAATGAAAATCAGTACTGTGTAAACAGCTAGAGGAGGTTGTTTTCAATTTTTTAAATTGGCAACACTATATTAAATTGCTCACATAAAGATTTCAGTCTGCCAAATAGTAATTCTCAGTGGCTCATTTCTAGTCACTTATGCAAGTAGGAACTGTTGTCATGTAATTTTAGTTTTATTTCTAGATGTATCTCAAGTTCTCATCTACCAGGTAAAAATTGCTCATCATTTGGTCACTTAAGCTATGTCTATGCTATGAGCTGGGAGGCTGATCCCCCTGCTCGTGTACACATGCTCGTGGTAGCTCTCTTTGAGCTAGCGCAAGTATGAAATAGCAGTGTAGCCACGGTCACATGGGTAGTGGCAATGGAGCTGTGCTGAATACAAACATAGAATCATAAGGTTAGGAGGGACCTTAAGGGTCATCTAGTCCAGGGGTTCTCAAACTTCATTGCACCTTGACCCCCTTCTGACAACAAAGTTATTACATGACCCCAGGAGGGGGGCCGGAGCCTGAGTCCTGCCACCTCAGGTGTGGGGAGAAGGGACCACAGCCCGAGCCCTGCCGCCTTAGTTGGAGGGAGAGTGGGCTGTAGCCCGAGCCTTGCCGCCTTGGGGGCTTCAGTTTCAGCACTGGGTCCCAGCAAGTCTAATGCTGGCCCTGGTGACCCCATTAAAATAGAGTCATGATCCACTTTGGGGTCCCAACCCACAGTTTAGTGGGTGATCTAGTCTAACCCCCTGCCAAGATGCAGGATTTGTTGTGTCTAAACCATCCAAGACAGATGGCGATCCAGCCTCCTTTTGAAAACCTCCAGTGAAGGAGATTCCACAACCTCCTACGCAGTCTGTTCCATTGTCCTACTGTTCTTACAGTTAGGAAGCTTTTCCAGAGATTTAATCTAAATCATCTAGGCTGTAATTTGAACCCATTGCCTCTTGTCTTACCTTCTATGGCAAGAGAGAATAACTTTTCTCCATCTTCTTTATAGCTGCCTTTCAAGTGTCTGAAGACTGCTATCCTGTCTCCCTCCTCCCTGCCCCTTAATCTCCTCTTTTGCAAACTAAACATGCCCAGTTCCTTCAGCCTTTGCTCAGATGGCTTGCTTTCTATCCCTTTGATCATCTTTGTCGCTTGCCTCTGGATCCTTTCTAGTTTCTGTACATTGGTGAGCAAAATTGGACACAGTACTCCAGCTGAAACCAGTGGGTATGTACTCGGCACAGCTCAGCCGTCCCTCCACTGCCACTACCCTTGCTACCACAGCTACTCTGTTACTTATACTCGCTAGTGCGTGACTGTGTATACATGAGCAGGGAAATAATACTCCTAACTCGTAGTGTAGACAGCCTTAGGCAGCTGGCAGAGAATCCAGCTGTGCTATAAAAGGATTAATTTGACCAAATCAAAAATTGCCAGGGTCTGAAAATGTTGCTTTTTGTGGTCAATCCAAGTTGAGGAAAAACACAAGTGTCTGTTGTATAGGAGCACCGAAAAATGTTGTTTGTGAGACAGCAGCACTGGCACATCATAAAGAATGAATTTTACTCTGCTAGGTTTATTGGAGGTCCCAGTAAGTTGAGTTCTTTGGACCTTTTGAAAGTCTCCTCATGATTTCTGTTTTAATCAGCTTCAGACGTGGTTTAATAGAGGTCACAAATTTGTCCTTCAGTGTTGTTTGTGTTTGTTTTTGTGAACAATCCATTACTTAGTATGACTTCCCCCCCG